AAAAAAAAAAAAAAAAAAAAAAAAAACATATTGTGCTTTCTGAATTGGCAGCTTTTAACTTCGACATTGCGTAAACATAAGTTTAATTTGTAATTTTCTGTACTTCGTATAGGGTAAGTTTAAAAATATTATTTTTGTTTATGTTCAATTAATACAAATAGGGCCACCGTAAGTGCGCATGCCTCGTGCATTATTTAAATGCTCGGTCCTCAAAAGTGTATAATCATGATTAATTTCGGTGGTTGCCATTTTCTAGGCCAAGTCAGGCGAATAAATGAAAAAAATGCTTTCGCTTAAAACCTATTTTTTTTAAAGAATTATAGAAGATTTATGAAAAAAGTAAAGTAAATATGATGCTGTCCGTATCATTTGCATCCAGATCAATAGCGGTTTCATATACTATCACAGTTACTCAGAGTTCCTCGGATCAAAATGTCTCGGCAGCACTCAGCCGAAGCGTCCTGTCGTACGTCATAAGATGGTTTCTTCGTTGCTAAGCTCCCGTAAATCAAGGCGTACACGTTTGGTGCAGTTTCACATCATCCTTTGCTGTTAGCAATTGAGTGTTTAGTTGACTGTTTGTATTTATAGTTAGAAAACATGGCTGAATCAATAACTTAATAGGAAGTGCATGAATATCCTAAGTACTTGAGGCTATTTTAGATCTCACAGTTCATATAATGCATACAATGAAACCAAATGAGAATTTTTTTCCTTTCCCTTCAGTTTTTCACCTGTTTTTTTGTTTTTTTGGAAGCTAAGTGAGACAAATTAATAATTTGTGTCTTAAGCCTCAGTACTATTAGAATGGAGCTATCACGCAAAGTGACAATGCTTTTCGAGTTGGCTGCTGTATTTCGGCACATATAGGCAAAGAAGCCTTGAAGATTGTACAAGGACTGTTAATCCTCATTCATAATTTTTTTTTGCCCTTTTCCCGAAGAAATTGTACTAGGCAAGTCCTGAGAATGGAGAACCAAGTTCTCCCAAATGTCAGTGACACCACTGTCAGTGCTTAATGGGTTGGTAATAGAAGAAACTCCTGTTTATTTCATTGTAATGGACTTGATAACAAATATTTTCCCCTCATTTTCTCTTGACATTTTAACTAATAAAAGGAAATTTTCACACAGGTCGATGTCACTCCCTCACTACGTGACTACAATGGCAGTGATCATTCGCATCTTATCAAGCTGGACGTTCGGGAACCCCGCTTAAGGCGTGTGCGTTACGGGCGTGTCCTCACAAATCATCCTGTCAACGAAGAGTTTGAAGAGCAGCTGTCAAAGCCATTTTATTTTCAACAAGAGGAGCATGGTCCTGTCACTGAGGTTCTGTTTCCAAAGGACACTGAGTCACCGGAAATTGCAGCTTTCAAAAAGGGTAAGATCGAATAAAACAAACTGAGATTAAGAAACTTCGCAATCAATGTCACGAGCTTTTGGAAAAGTCAATTTCTGCCTAATAGCAACACTGATCATTATATACTCGTCGGTTTAGCTCCATTCTTATTTCGTTGATTAGAGAGTTAAAAGAAGGGATCATCATAGATTTGTATTCTTGTCAAGAACAGTGTTGTTGTTGCGTTCATGGAATGATTGATCCCTAAAGGAGCGAGTTTTAACTTGATCACGAATGAATCACCGATATTTCAATGACCTGTTGTGTTGGATAATAAATAATTAACCCCCCTCCCCCTCCCCTTCCACCAAAATAAACAAAAACAAAGCAAACCACTGTCGTAAGGTTTATTTCCCATTTTCCTGTCTGGAGGGAAACCATCCTGGATGTAGCGAGTCACTGTACATCAACAGAGTGGAAAATAATTTCNCTGTCTCTGAGGTTCTGTTTCCAAAGGACACTGAGTCACCGGAAATTGCAGCTTTCAAAAAGGGTAAGATCGAATAAAACAAACTGAGATTAAGAAACCGCGCAATCAATGTCACGAGCTTTTGGAAAAGTCAACTTCTGCCTAATAGCAACACTGATCATTATATACTCGTCGGTTTATCTCCATTCTTATTTCGTTGATTAGAGAGTTAAAAGAAGAGATCATCATAGATTTGTATCCTTGTCAAGAACAGTGTTGTTGTTGCATTCATGGAATGACTGATCTCTAAAGGCTCGAGTTTTAACTTGATCACGAATGAATCACCGATATTTCGATGACCTGTTGTGTTGGATAATAAATAATTAACCTCCCTCTTCCCTCCTCCCACCAGAATAAACAAAAACAAAGCAAACCACTGTCGTAAGGTTTATTTCCCACTTTCCTGTCTGGAGGGAAACCATCCTGGATGTAGCGAGTCACTGTACATCAACAGAGTGGAAAATAATTTCGGATTTTGCTATAACCTGTGTGTATTCAACAAATTCATTCTGCAACTAGTTGCACAGCTTCAACTGTACTGATTGAGCTTCGTATAACATGTACAACAAGAAATTATGCTTCATTTGTTTATTGTATGGTGACAGGTATTGCAGGTGCATTTCAACTCAACCTAAAGGAGGCTCTTAGATCCGACATCTATGAAGTGCAGGAACACGATGATTCTGGTATCTTTCGAACCAAATACAATGTCCTCTCTGCCAATGATACACACGCTCATCTTCATCGAACCTGGACAAACTTCGACTACCAACAATTTGCAGATGGCACTCCGACGAAACGACAGCACAAGATACAATCTCAGCACAGCGCTCACGTTCACGTGAAAGATGGAAGAATTCACCAAATTCACCGCACAAACGAGGCATTCTTCAGACCTGCGAATGGCCATCCGAGGGCGGACAATTTCGAAGGCTTTCAAGGTCAGGACCAAGACATAGAAATGTCAACCCGAGGGTACAGCAAGCTGACGTTAAGGTCTTGTTCAGAGCCTGAACATCGACGTTCCAAGCGTTCTGTAACTGAGGAAGAGCATCTGAAAATGGTACGTTCCCTTGCCAGCGATAATCTTCTATTTACAGACACCGAGAAGATAAACTGGTCAAAGATCGGGGGAGAGAAGAAGAAGATGAGACCTTTCTATGAAGTGCTGCGCTGCTTTACTGACAAGAACATGAAAGAGCGAGAAATTGGTGATTGTTCAAATGAGATGCATCGCATGGTTCGTGACGATCAAGGTACTTTTCAGATGGTTGCGAGATTGGTTCGGGATCGAAGTCACCAAAACCTCACATCATGGGCGGTATATGTAGCTGCACTTGCAGGACACGGAAAGTACGAAGCCCAAAATGCTTTGGCACAGGCAGTCCAAGCAGACTATCCGAGACCTCTTAGCAAGGAAGAATATGAGACTCTACTGGTAGGAACTTTCTATTTGCCAGAGGGTCCACTTCACGCGCGGCTTTTCGATGCCCTGTTACATTTGGTATCGCGAGAAGGGAAAGGAGATGAAGTGACCTCCACAGCAATGTTAGTCTTGGCTGGTCTCGTTGAAAGAGCAAAGCGAGCAGGCTATAATGAAACCTTGAGTGATAACATTGCAGAGATGATACAAAACAGATACAGAAACAGATCAACTCTTTATCATCCTGATAGCGAAGAGTACGAAATGAACCTACGAGACCACATCTGGGCCTTTGGAAATCTCGGTCATCATTCCGGACTTTCTGTTATCCTGGAACACATTGACCACGATAACTCTGGAATACGATCAGCGGTGATTTCGGCCATGCGCAAGCTTCCCCCAGAACACACAAATCAACACCTACTGCGTGCGCTATACACGGATGAACACTCCGAAGTAAAAGCTGCGGTTGTTAATGTCTTCGTTGAGCGTCACCAACATTTAAGCGATTCAGTGGTTCAAGGCCTGGAGCATGCGCTGTGGCACGCTTCGGAAAGCGAGACCTTAGATTCATCGATTATGGAACTTCTTGAAAACCATGGTAGCCATCCTAAAGCGGTCTACCTACGTAAGAGGCGAAGCGCAATTCATCGCCGTAAACGGGCTCTGTTTCCATTTCTTCGTCCAAGAGAGTTTTCCCTTGGCCCGTCCAAACGATGGGTGAAAACATATGGTGGCAAATGGCTGGGAGCAGAATCAGTGATTCAGTTTGTCAATCAAGTTAAGCTAAGAATTGGCATTTTTGGCGGAAACTTTGAGGTGAACCTGGACAATCATGCAAACATTCAAGCTTATATCCTCAAATTTGGTTTTGAAGTCGCCCGTGGTAAGGCTGCTTTCAAGGCCTCTGCCAGTTTTAAGAATGACTTCCCGAAGGACCTCATCCACGCCATTGCCGATGCCGGAGACGATTTACTGAAACAGTTCGACAGTATTACAAGTGTGATTGCGGAACAAATAAACAAATTTATCGAAAAATTAGCTGGATATCTGCCGTTGTACATTGACAAATTTGTAGACTTCGTTAATAAAGTTGTTCAGTTTGTGCAGAACCTCGTGCAGCCTTTACGACCAATTAACCTCATCAGTAAAGTCATCAAAATTGCCAGAGATGTCCTTGACCGCGTTAAGGATTGGAAGTGGCTCATAGACAAGATCAAGAAAATACAGCTGAGTCTTGGAAAGCTAACTGCTGTTGACGACATCTTCAGAAACGTCATTGCAGCTCTGGACAAAATCTTGAACATTGTTGGTGGCATAACCAAGTACCTACCCCACAATCTGCCGGGAAACTTCAGCATCAAGAAACTCCTGGATATTCTCCGCTCGGTCTCCGTGGATCTTCACCTGGACAAAATCAAAGACTACTTCAATTCTTTAGGCTTCTCTGTGCCTGGAGGTTTCCGTTTGCAGCTTCCATTCAAGTTCTCCGTTCGATTCTCCTTTTCGCTGGAATCGTTTCAGCAAGTTGCCTTGAAGCTCCTGCGATTTGCCAACCGTTTCCTGGACATGTCTTCGTTGTTGGATTTTCTTGATGGAATGCGATTCCCAAAATTACAGCTGCCTGACATGAACCTGCGATTCCCACCTTTTCAAGGCAGTGGCTTTAACTTTGGCCTGCGTTTTGACTGGCGAGTCAGCTTAAAGTTCAAACTGAATCTAAAATCTCCGAGCTTTCAGAATTTCATCTCTATTTTTAGAAAACTCGGAGACTTTTTCGAACAGTTCAGACTCCCAGGTTTTGATCTCGAGAGGTTCTTCCAAGAAATATTGCCAGGCAAGAACTTTGACATAGAAGAGATGTTCCGTGGACTCCTGGGTGGGAATCAAAGCGCCAATTCTACAAATCCAGCAGACATCCTGCAAGACTTTCTTGAAAATCTTATTAATAAGCTTGACCTAGAATTTAAAAATGTTTCCGCCATAAGTGACATAACAGATTTCTTTCAAGAACTTGGGCCGGCAATGGAACAGTTTGCGGAAAAGAGCGTAACGCGAATTTGCGGCGTTTACGAACTTGCGTTGAATTCCTCCCAGGAATTTAAAGATTTTGGAGAAAACGTCGAAAAAGAAGGAATCGAAGTACTCCAAGTCGTTGAGAATACAACCCAAAACGTACTTACCGAACTATTGAACTTTACAATCCTTGTAGACACTTTACTAGACGAAATTCAACACAACTTTACCACGGCAGCAAAAGGGTTTGTTTCAAACTCCCTACAAGAGCTTACTGGTAAACTAAAAGATATCCAGGATCTTGCAGATAACATTGTGGACTTTGCCAACGGGACAGCTTCGAAAGCTAATGGCGCATGCACCAAAGCTGCAAATTTCTCTGCGGATGTAATTGACAAAGTTCAAGCGAACGCACGTGAAGCACTTACTGAACTTGGGTCGTTCATCGGACCAGTAGCAGCAAAGATGAAAACGGTTGGAGCGGAATTGAAGTCTGCTGTTACCAAGGTCGAAACATGGTACGAAGAAAACCTAGCAGCTCGTGTGGGGAAGATATCTCGCGTTGCCCAAATCATATCAGATTTTCTTTCAATTCTTAATACGAAGAAAGGATTTCTGAAATCTGCCCGCGAAATTGCTTCCCGTATCAATGAAGTTCTCGCGCGACTACGAAATCTCCCCGAGTACGCAAACAAGGCGAGGAAAACGGCAGATGATGTTCTCAATTTTGTTGACAGAGCTCAGGACTACAAAAACGAGATTCAGAAGCTTGACATTAGAAAACAGTTCGGAATCGACTTTGACCAGCGCGTGAAAGATGTTTGCAATGAATTTAACACCATTGCCGCGGAGACGCTTAACAAGTTCGGGAGCTTTGACATAGTGGAAGAAGTTGACACGTTTTTTAACAAAGAAGCGGACAAGCTTATCGGCAAAGCTGTATCAAAGTTTAGAAGAATTAAAGAACCTATATACGAAATACAGGAAGAACTGCGGGAGATAAAGTCCATGGTACGTGAAGTGATGGCAGTCTTGACAGATCTTAAACCTTTCACCAACAACTTCTCGCCTATACTGGAGACTGCAGGAAAGTTGCCTGATTGCCAGGAGATCAAGAACATATTCCTTGAAAGTGCAAAGCCATGCGTCCGGAAAGCACTGGTGGTTGGCCGTTACGTTATTGATCAATACAAGGACTTCAAGAAAGAGATAAAGGTTCTTTATGGTATGGTACCAGAAACATGGAAGAACTTTAAGATACAGAAATGTGTCAAGGGCGGAACATGCATTTCGCAAGCGTTCATTGATCAAGCTAAAGCCATCAAAGACAAAGCAGATGTCCTCAAGGACAAATTCAAAGAAGCAAGTGGTTATACGGACATGCTTGAAACGTGCGAACAAGGGGTTGACAATATCACGGCTGTTGTAGACACTGTAAAGCTTCTTGTTGAACAGGTTCGGAACTTTTCTCTCCAAGACGATGTTCAAAGGGTGAAGGACGTTTTCCAAAAGATCACTGGCCGAAAACCAGAAGGTAGTGAGGGAGGTGGCGTTCAAAAACGGTCCATAAGAGACGTAAAAGAACGCATCAGTAGGATTGTTGATTACATCAAGAAGGCCAAAGACATGCAAGAGAAAATGCAGGATTTGCTGGAGAACACATTCAAAGCAATGCGAAATGTCTATGATGATGCAGTGTTAGAGCATGTTCAAGCTCTGAAGGATGTGCGCTCCAAGCTTAAACTATCATACGAACTATGGCAAAAGACAAAGAATATAAACCACGTCTTGCAGGCGTTAGACACCGTCACTCAAAGCGCTTCCAAATATGCAGATAGACTAAAAGGTGTGACGGATTCATTTTCGAACCCAATTGTCAACCTTTTGTCCGAGACTGGAGAGCTCAGTGACGTTGTGAAGCCCTATCTTGACAAGTATACTACCAAATTCACCGACACCATCGCAAAAGTCAACAACTTTTTGGATAAAGTCACCGACTTTCTTAACAAGCTTCAGCTGCGTCAGAGAGGTTTGGATGTTAGCGCTTACAAACCATGGCAGCAAATATCATACTGCTCCGAAGAAGTGTGTCTACGCTCCATTAGGCGATCATCGTCACTTTATCTCAAGACCATTTTCACGTGGAAGTTCCCGCATCTCGATGATCTCTCCTCCATGGACAAGAGTGGACGCTGGCTGACCCCTGGTCTTTTCGATGATTATAAAGTGGAAGGGATATCCTCATTTTCCAAAAGCGAAACCATCCTTGGTATGCATGGTGTGTCAAGTAACAAAGGGAAGGCCTCGCTGTTGGTAGTTACAAACTTTGGCAACGGTGTCAAGAAGATCATTCAACTTGGAAGTAAAGGAAGTCCTCTTGCAGTGCGAATAGGAGGTGTGGTGGTAGCTAGAGAGTACATCTGGATCAGCGACAGCTCCTCAAATAAGATCTACTCAGTCAGGAAATCTGGTGTGACTGGCTCCTTTTCGTCTCCAAAACCATCTTGGGTTGGACTGTCCAAATCCGTTTCCGTCGAAGGAACTGCAACTTCCGTGTCGCATGATGAGCCAAGCAATGTCCTGTGGGTAACAGACGGAAAAGGTGGGAAGGCGTACGGTTATAAGCTGTCAGCCAATGGGGATTTAGCTTCTTCTGGCTTAGCGCCCGACAGAGTAATTCATATTGGAGCAAATGCGCAAGGCACCACCATAGTGAGACAGTTCAGTACCGAGTATGTTTGCATCTCCAAGTGTGCGATGATCTCAGGTTTTCAGTGTAAGCTTGAGTTTCATGACATTTCTGGTGGTGACCAAACCGGAGAAAACACGCTGGCAAGAGTGGTTCGAACTCCCTCGGGTTTAGAATCAGTCACCAGAGTTGACAACGAAGTTATTGCGGTAGCGTTTTCAAGTGGCACCTATGCTGAAAAAGAAAACATAGAGCTTATGGGTGGTGACTTTGAAGACAGATATTTTTATCTTAGGCTGCCGATTCTTAAAATGACTTTCGGAATCCAAGAGAACTGCTTGTTTTTCTCCGTGATGAGGGATTACATTGTACGACCGCGAAGGCTGTTTCCATTTGGAGATATGATTTGTGGAACTACACGCAAGCGAAGCATTTCACAAGAACTGTTAGAATCTGACGTTTATTCGGAACAACTCGAGGAGGTCCACAAGAGAAATAAGCGAATCCGAAGACAGGCCACAGATCTGGGATCTTGTATGACGTTATTCCGAGGGAATGTACTCAGAGGTTACCAGAAATTTTTCCCTGAATATTCGCAAGTTATCATCGTGTTTGGTATACCAGTAAGGCTGTTTGCTGGGGCTGGTGGTTACTACAGTGTGGATTACCAAGGGCAAGTATGTATGCGTGATAAGACTTTCAAACTGGGTCTCATTCCCGGAGCGTGGGTCTCTGTGTACGCTGGTGCATCCTTATCACTCTGGATTGTGGAAGCGGGAATAACGATCGAGGCGAGACTTCTCGAGACCTATTTTGTACCAGAGCTACGAATCAAGATCAACAAGTGGCCTCTAAAGGCGTGCATCGAGCTCAAGTTGCGAATGACACCGCTCCGCATTCGAGTTTGGCTTTGGTATCGATTCCGTCTTTGCATTCGGATCAAGTGTAAGTTGTTTGGCTGCAGTATAAGGATCAGGTGGTGCTCAAAGAAGACACTTGCAGAGTGGTGGTGGTCAGCGAAAACGATCGATAGGACCCTCTTTAATAATTGCAAGCAAGATGTAGACAGAACTCCTCCCATTGCTGGATCGTGCACTGCAAGACAAGCCGCGGACAAGAAGTATTTTGTCCAATGGCATGGATTTCACGAAGACACCAAAATCAATAGTTACCACGTCAGCATAGGATCCCTACAAGGCTATGGCGATGATTACTCGGCATGGGTGGGGTCATCTTTAAGCCTAGTAATCACCGATCTTCCCATAATGCATGGCAGAGACGTTTATGTCAGCGTATTTGCCACAAATGACGGTGGACTTGACAGCCCTTTAGTAAACTGCCCGAAGTTTCAGGCGAGACGTCAGGGACCACAGATGCGCTTCGTCCACGATGGTGTTATTGAGGCACAAGACGCAGACTATCAGTCGGATACCCACGCTTTGGGTATGAATTTTGCTTTCAAGGGCGATGTCAAGGACATTGTGCACATAAAATGGGGCGTGTCCTCTAATACCAGCTGTACTTTTGACGAGGCAGAATCGGACATTGTTCCTTTGACCCCTCTCGGCGATTCCACCTCTATCCAGACCTCTGGCTTGGATTTACGTCACGGCCATAAATACTTCACTCGCCTATATGCGATGGATTCTTTTGGTTTGAAGGCTTTAATGTGTAGCGATGGTATCCTGATTGACACAACGCCACCCATTGCAGGGCATTTTCAAGACGGTGCGGGGGAAGGAGACGCAATGTACCTTCCATCGCTAAGGCGTGTACGTGGAAAGTTTGATCCTTTCACCGATCCCGAAAGCCCTATTATAAAGTATGAGTGGAAGATTCTGGGAAACAACTCCAATGAAGATGTAACACCGTTTGCAAATATCCCACTTACCCAACAGGCGCCCCTTATGGTTGGCCTCTCTCTTGTAGCTGGTTCTCCTTACAGGCTTGTATTGCGTGGAACTAACGCTGCAGGGCTTCAAACAATTATCACAACAAATGGATTTATACCTGATAATACACCACCTCATTGTGAAGGCAAAGTTATTGACGTGACGGACGAAGTGGACTTGTATGACGTGGATTTTGTAAGAGAATTAAATAGTATTCAAGCAAAATGGAGATGTATAGACGAGGAAAGTAATATTCGTGTGCAACTTGTTGGAGTTGGAACTTATCCAGGTGGAGATGATGTTAAAGCTTTCGAAAATGTCGCCTTCGTTACACACACTGTTTCAGAGGATGGAGTGATGTTTGTCAGCTTCTCCGATATAAACATTCTGCCGAAGGTTAGATACCACGTGACTGTTAAGATCATAAACGGAGCTGGTCTGAAGAAAACTATTACTTCTGATGGTATTCTTATGGACATTACACCGCCAACGGTAGCTGCACAGTACATTAAGGACGGAGTAGGAGGTAAAGACACGAATTTCACTAAGGAAAGATTTACTTTTAGTGCTCATTGGGAACAGGCGTTCGCTGATGCAGAAAGTGGCCTTGTGGAATACCGTGTTGCACTGGGTACCAAGCCTGGGCTCGGTGACATTCAGAACTTTAAGACAGTGGGAGTACAAACTAGTGTGACAATTGCGGGATTGTTTCTGAAAAGCGGCGAGCGTTACTTCGTGACAGTTGTTGGTTGTAACGGAGTTGGAATGTGTATTAATGGCAGTAGCAACGGTGCCATTGTAGACTTTGTACCTCCCCACACTGGGAAAGTTGTCACTGGATTAGCAGGTCCCCCGGTGTTGTATCAGTGGATAACAAAGTCGGTATGGGCGAGGTGGAATTGGTGTTTGGCTGATGAGAAGAGAGTCTCGGGACTGCTAAACAACAGCCAGTGTAGCAATGACAGCTTCTACGATGTCCACAGTGGGGTGGTTGGCTTTGGTATTTCGGTAGCGTCATTGGAAACTGATAACCTTCTGGCACCACCCAAGATGGCTGGACGAGTACGGTCTACAGGTCGCAACACTGACCTTGAAGATGGAGTGTACTCGGTGGTTATTGAAGCTAAAGATAGAGCAGGTGTTGCTGCTCGTGGATTGTCGAATACATTCATTGTTGACAGCAGTCCTCCTGAAATCACGTACGTTCAGCACGGGCATTTCGGCGAAACACTGCAGCATATAAACTCGCCATTTGCAACGTTGAGATCATATTTTGAAGTCGAAGACGATCTATCTAAGGTTACAGCCTACAAAGTTGGTGTTGGAAGCTACGCTGGTGCTGATGACGTCATGAAATTTCAGACTGTTTCATTAAGTTTACCTGTGTCGTCGCTGCGAGCAAACTGGACAGCGCCAAAATCATTATCCCTGGAGAACAGCCGACGTTATTTCATCACCATATGGGCTGCCAACAATGCAGGGCTCTTTGCCATCAAATCATCTCCGCCTCTGCTTTCTGACTCTGAAGCTCCCAAAGACGGGATTGTTCTAGATGGATGGGGCTTAACAGATGCCCAGTATCAAAGTTATTTCACTCTCTATCGTGCGCATTGGTATGGCTTTACTGATTTCTCTGGAATAGAAACAGTGTACCTTGGATTGTCAAGCAAGCCGCAGTCCACCGTCTGTGACGTCAAAAAGGAAGACATCGTTCCAGCCAACACAAACTATCATGTTTTATATGGGTTAAACTTGACATCTGGGCAGAAATATTACGCGTGTCTCAAACTGGTAGACAGAGCTGGAAATTCGGCATTCTTTCAATCTAATGGAGTGCTGGTTGATTCCAGTCCTCCACTGCCAGGTTCTGTGACGGATGGACGACCAGGAGAGGACCTCGACGTGCAGATCGAGAGCTCAATTCTTCGAGCTTCCTGGGTCAACTTTACAGAGCAAGAAACGAGAATAGTCTCTTATCAGTTGGCATTCGGAACATTCCCCGGCGGCCAAGATGCCCAGGAATTCACTGGGGTGGGACTCGTGAACGCGGCTGCGAGTTCAAAACTAAAAGTGTCGGAGTTGACAAGTGGCCAGCGTTATTACGCCTCAGTAATTGCCTACAATGTGCTCGGCATGCCCAGTGAAATGGTTTCTTCTAACGGTGTCTTGGTGGATTTCACTCCTCCAGTTTTTTCGAGGCCCACACGTGATGGCAATGATCCCAATCAAGACCTGAGCTACACAACCGCAGGCTCCTTGTCAGTGACCTGGATTTGCGAGGATCTAGAGACATCCCTAGCTACTGTCGAGGTTGCCTTCGGCCTGCAGCCAGGAGAAGCAGGCGCCATGAATTTCACGAAGGTATCGGTTAATCAAACTGCTTTGGCAGTTGTGCGCAATCTTCAGTTGGGATATCGCTATTTTGCGACAGTGCGATGTACAAACAAGGTTGGTCTGAAAGTTGTTTCTTTTTCAGACGGTGTTGTTTTCGACGACACAGCGCCAAATTTAGTTTACCTGCGGGATAGCGACTATCAAAGCAGGATGAAAAACGTGACAATAAATTTCAAATTTGTCGACGCAGAAAGTGGTGTGCAAGAATATAGAGTTCAAGTATGGGGAAAGCCTTCTTTAAGGTCTGCGATGGATGTTTACGGCTCCTTCAGTCTCAATGGCAGTGTTACCGTGGCAACATTAACAATAACAAGAGACCTTGAGAGCGGAAGAAGATATTATGTCAATGTGACAGCAGTGAACGGTGTTGGTTTGCAAACCACAGTACAATCAGATGGATTTGTGGTTGATAGCTCTCCTCCGATATGCTCTCAGCTCTGGGATGGCAAAGCCGATCTTCAACACGACTTGCAGTACGCTCCAAGTTCAAGCAAACGTGTTATTTCCTGGGTGTGTTATGACAATGAATCTCCTATAGTTCTGTACCGTTTTTCGGTGAAAAATCTACTAACAAACGAGTACGTTATTCCTTTTTACGCACTAAAAACACTCGTAAACTCCTCAGGATCGGCGATAATCACGGGTGGAGGTAGGATTACTGTAAAATATGAAGAAGGCCAAAGTTACACTGTTGGAATTGAGGTTGTCAACTCCGTTGACCTTAAAGCAGTAAATTGGACAAATGGTGTCATCATTGATAGCACCCCACCTGAGGCAACGAAAGTAAAGCTTACGTTTGACCCAAAGAATGATTCATTAAGGGCTGAGTGGACAGTAGCTGATCAACAGAGTGGAGTTAAATCTGTTGCGTGGGGTCTGGGAACTAATCCAGAGTATAATGATATTAAGAACTTCACCGACGTTTCACTAATCAAGACAAGTCTTGTTATTTCTGATGTTCCCTTGCAAGGCGGAAGAACCTACTTTTTGAGGCTCTTTGCTGTAAACAAGGCCGGCTTATCGAGCACTACATCTTCAAATGGCGTTGTTATCGACCGTACAGCGCCAAATTCTGGTATTGTAGCTGCCCACTATGTCTTCCCAAGGAACTACGATCGAAACAAGAATGAAGTACCAGGATCGTATTTCGTGGTGTCGTGGAGCGGATTTACAGATCCCGAAAGCGGTATTAGACAAATCAGTTGGGCTGTGGGTGCAAATCCTCTGGAACTTATACAAAATGGCGGCGATTTGTACACCGACGTAATCGCAGATGACTCTGTTGGCGGAGTCTTTATAGACAATCAAACTCTTGTCGGAAATAACACTTATTTTGTCTGCATACGTGCAACAAACGGCGCCGGACTTCATAGAACTGATTGCTCTCCGGGAATGTTCGTAATACTGGGAAAGTTTTCTGCAGGTGTCGTAAGCGACGGTCCAATACCGTCGGCAAACGACATTGATTTCCAACTTGACGACAAAGCAATTTGGGCTCACTGGAACGGATTCAAGGATCCAGTTTTTGGCATCAGGGGATATGATTGGTGTATCAGAGATCAGCCACCTAATTCTTCCGTGTCGGATGTGTGTAAGTGGCCATTCGTTGAAGTACACCATCTCAAAACGTCAGCGAACCGCTTTTACAATCTAACACTGGAACACGGCAAGAAATATTACGTCACCGTAAGAGCCGAAAATAATAGAGGTGAACATGTAAGCTCGTCTTCGGATGGTGTTGTTGTCGATCGAACTCCTCCAGTTGGAAAATCACTCCAAATCTCTCCTACAACTGGGAAGGGTACTTTGTACGTAACAACACCGTCTTCTCCTGTGGTCACGTGGTCAATGGACGATCCTGAAAGCGGTATGAGCCACTTCCTTATTGGTGTTGGTAGTTTCCCGTTCCAAGATGACCTGCTCGGGTTCCAACGCGTCGACAGCCTAAGTCGTTCTATAGACTTAGATCTGTTTAATTTCACGCTTTACGAAGGTCTGACATTTCATGTAACTGTTACTGGCGTTAACATGCTACGCCTGGAGACCACTTTGACGTCACAACAAGTAGTGGTGGACTGGACCCCGCCAGAGTCTGGCGACGTTGTAGATGGAAATGTTACCTCCCCGATAAGCCACGAATATGTGGATGTTGATTATCAGCGCGAGAAAGGTGTATTGTCTGCTCACTGGAGTGGATTCCAAGATGTGGAGAGCGACATTGTTGAATATCATTGGTGTATTGGAACAGCGCAGGGTATGTGATTGACTTTTTTACATTATTTGATAGAAACGGTGATACAAAGGGCCTTGTGAAGCTTTATTGTTTGTTTCTTTGTTTAGTACTTTATTTGTTGTCGCTATTTTGTTGGAAAGAAAATGTTGATACTGAGGAATTGAATATTACCAATGAATGATATTCTTTGTTTTTTTGTTTTTTTGTCTTTTTGAAACGGCCAGTATCAAGTAACGTTTCCGAAATTGATTGAAGTGTTTACTTCTCTTTCTCTCTCTGACTACCAGTTTCCCTTGTTTGTGTAAACGTTACCTACACTTTATTTTAGGACTGGGGTCGTTTAACGTACGGGCAATTGTCTGAACCATACTAGGCAACTACTCCAATGACATATACGAGCATCATTAACAATGCTTTTATTTATACTGAATTGCCATTTGAGTTATTGAGTTATACATTTAACTGTTGTTATGTTACAGGGGCTTGTGACGTGCAGAGTATGACAAATGCTGATGTTCAGACAAGTGTTCACCTTCAAATGCTCCTCCAGGAAGGTCAACGTTACTTCTTTACAGTTGAAGCTACCAATGGGGCTGGTTTAAAAGAAACCGCTTACTCCGATGGTGTAACAGTGGATGTCACTCCACCTCTTATTGGAGATGTTTCATATAATTTTCAGACCAAGGCGAGTTCAGCCCCGCAGCAGTCCTCTGGTAGTGGACGCAGAAGACGATCAGTATGGGACACACCAAGCGATGCGGATCAAACCGACGATTTCGGTGTTTCGTCTCTTCGAGTTCTCTCGTCCGTCCGAGGGTGCAATAACTCTGTTAATGCTTCGTGCGATGTAAAACAAAGCAGTGATCGCCTGTTAGTGTTTTCCTGGGAAGCACCTGCTGATGCCGAAAGTGGAATTACCTCCGTGGAGTGGTGCGCTGGTAGTAGTCCCCACTTGTGCGATATTATCTTGTGGACAGCTGTAGAGCCGAGCACGACTTCGTTTGAACACTCTCTATCCACACCTCTTTCATCTGGGACGGTAGTGTTTATAAAACTAAGGGTTAGAAATGGCGCTGGAATAGAATCCACGAGCATCTCCAAACCACTGCTTGTTGATAGTACCGCGCCAACAGACGGTGTCGTTATAGTGGGGAACACGCTAGAAACTAAGTACCTGAGGAAAGACGAGTCACTCATAGCGGACTGGAGTGGATTTGCCGATCACGAAAGTGGTTTGAGTCACTTCGAGTGGGCTGTATGCAAGGCTGGTTCCAGGGATGATTGCATTACACCGTTTGTTGATGTTGGACTTATGGCGACTATTGAGAACTCTGCTCTCGATATCAAACCTGGAATTTCCTATGTCCTCATTGTTCGGGCCCACAACAAGGTTGGATTGTTCAGAGAGACTGAGTCAAATCAGTTTATACTAGATGGCACACCACCAACTGCCGGAACTGTGTATGATGGCTCTAGCGATAGAAACGACCTTGAACTACAAAGCTCTACTAGTGAAATCTCGGCCAACTGGTCGCCATTTACAGACTCCAACGGACGAATTACCCTGTACGAAATGTGCGTAGGAACGGAACAAGAGAAATGTGATGTGAGTGACTTTGTTAGTCTAGGCATCGCTCTGAAGGGTTCCATCCACGGCTTGAGTTTGAATCACACCAGGAGATACTTTGTTACCGTGAGGGCAACAAATGAAGCTGGCTACAGCACCATGGCAACGTCAAATGGTGTTCTAGTGGACAGCACTCCTCCCGTAGGAGGCGAAGTAAGAGATGGCAGAACACTAGCGGACATCGATTTCCAAGCTGGCGACACGTACATATATGCCAACTGGGATGAGTTCCAGGATGTAGAGTCAGATGTCACAAGGTATATATGGTGTGCTGGGACAAGAAAGGGAACCTGCGACATCATCCCAGAAACCAATGTCGGCGACCGCACCAGCGTCGGCCGGCAGATTCGTCCACCATTGACAGCAGGAATGGCCGTATTTGTAACCGTTAGTGCTTACAATGGTGCAAGAGCGATTACTAGAGTGTCTTCCGACGGGTTTAAAGTGGACAGCACTCCTCCAGTCGTCTCCAAGGTAACTAATATTAGATTATCTCCCGCTTCCCAAAGATTGAAGTAAGGATGATCCTGGCAAGATTAGTAATGTGGATTTGTCCTTTAAGCAGAAGGATAATGAATACTTCAGAAGTAAGCAGAGTGAAAACCTAGCAAAAATATTCATGAGTGAATTTACNCTTTTTGAGGCTCTTCGCTGTAAACAAGGCCGGCTTATCGAGCACTACATCTTCAAATGGCGTTGTTATCGACCGTACAGCGCCAAATTCTGGTATTGTAGCTGCCCACTATGTCTTCCCAAGGAACTACGATCGAAACAAGAATGAAGTACCAGGATCGTATTTCGTGGTGTCGTGGAGCGGATTTACAGATCCCGAAAGCGGTATTAGACAAATCAGTTGGGCTGTGGGTGCAAATCCTCTGGAACTTATACAAAATGGCGGCGATTTGTACACCGACGTAATCGCAGATGACTCTGTTGGCGGAGTCTTTATAGACAATCAAACTCTTGTCGGAAATAACACTTATTTTGTCTGCATACGTGCAACAAACGGCGCCGGACTTCATAGAACTGATTGCTCTCCGGGAATGTTCGTAATACTGGGAAAGTTTTCTGCAGGTGTCGTAAGCGACGGTCCAATACCGTCGGCAAACGACATTGATTTCCAACTTGACGACAAAGCAATTTGGGCTCACTGGAACGGATTCAAGGATCCAGTTTTTGGCATCAGGGGATATGATTGGTGTATCAGAGATCAGCCACCTAATTCTTCCGTGTCGGATGTGTGTAAGTGGCCATTCGTTGAAGTACACCATCTCAAAACGTCAGCGAACCGCTTTTACAATCTAACACTGGAACACGGCAAGAAATATTACGTCACCGTAAGAGCCGAAAATAATAGAGGTGAACATGTAAGCTCGTCTTCGGATGGTGTTGTTGTCGATCGAACTCCTCCAGTTGGAAAATCACTCCAAATCTCTCCTACAACTGGGAAGGGTACTTTGTACGTAACAACACCGTCTTCTCCTGTGGTCACGTGGTCAATGGACGATCCTGAAAGCGGTATGAGCCACTTCCTTATCGGTGTTGGTAGTTTTCCGTTCCAAGATGACCTGCTCGGGTTCCAACGCGTCGACAGCCTAAGTCGTTCTATAGACTTAGATCTGTTTAATTTCACGCTTTACGAAGGTCTGACATTTCATGTAACTGTTACTGGCGTTAACATGCTACGCCTGGAGACCACTTTGACGTCACAACAAGTAGTGGTGGACTGGACCCCGCCAGAGTCTGGCGACGTTGTAGATGGAAATGTTACCTCCCCGATAAGCCACGAATATGTGGATGTTGATTATCAGCGAGAGAAAGGTGTATTGTCTGCTCACTGGAGTGGATTCCAAGATGTGGAGAGCGACATTGTTGAATATCATTGGTGTATTGGAACAGCGCAGGGTATGTGATTGACTTTTTTACATTATTTGATAGAAACGGTGATACAAAGGGCCTTGTGAAGCTTTATTGTTTGTTTCTTTGTTTAGTACTTTATTTGTTGTCGCTATTTTGTTGGAAAGAAAATGTTGATACTGAGGAATTGAATATTACCAATGAACGATATTCTTTGTTTTTTTGTCTTTTTGAAACGGCCAGTATCAAGTAACGTTTCCGAAATTGATTGAAGTGTTTACTTCTCTTTCTCTCTCTGACTACCAGTTTCCCTTGTTTGTGTAAACGTTACCTACACTTTATTTTAGGACTGGGGTCGTTTAACGTACGGGCAATTGTCTGAACCATACTAGGCAACTACTCCAATGACATATACGAACATCATTAACAATGCTTTTATTTATACTGAATTGCCATTTGAGTTATTGAGTTATACATTTAACTGTTGTTATGTTACAGGGGCTTGTGACGTGCAGAGTATGACAAATGCTGATGTTCAGACAAGTGTTCACCTTCAAATGCTCCTCCAGGAAGGTCAACGTTACTTCTTTACAGTTGAAGCTACCAATGGGGCTGGTTTAAAAGAAACCGCTTACTCCGATGGTGTAACAGTGGATGTCACTCCACCTCTTATTGGAGATGTTTCATATAATTTTCAGACCAAGGCGAGTTCAGCCCCGCAGCAGTCCTCTGGTAGTGGACGCAGAAGACGATCAGTATGGGACACACCAAGCGATGCGGATCAAACCGACGATTTCGGTGTTTCGTCTCTTCGAGTTCTCTCGTCCGTCCGAGGGTGCAATAACTCTGTTAATGCTTCGTGCGATGTAAAACAAAGCAGTGATCGCCTGTTAGTGTTTTCCTGGGAAGCACCTGCTGATGCCGAAAGTGGAATTACCTCCGTGGAGTGGTGCGCTGGTAGTAGTCCCCACTCGTGCGATATTATCTTGTGGACAGCTGTAGAGCCGAGCACGACTTCGTTTGAACACTCTCTATCCACACCTCTTTCATCTGGGACGGTAGTGTTTATAAAACTAAGGGTTAGAAATGGCGCTGGAATAGAATCCACGAGCATCTCCAAACCACTGCTTGTTGATAGTACCGCGCCAACAGACGGTGTCGTTATAGTGGGGAACACGCTAGAAACTAAGTACCTGAGGAAAGACGAGTCACTCATAGCGGACTGGAGTGGATTTGCCGATCACGAAAGTGGTTTGAGTCACTTCGAGTGGGCTGTATGCAAGGCTGGTTCCAGGGATGATTGCATTACACCGTTTGTTGATGTTGGACTTATGGCGACTATTGAGAACTCTGCTCTCGATATCAAACCTGGAATTTCCTATGTCCTCATTGTTCGGGCCCACAACAAGGTTGGATTGTTCAGAGAGACTGAGTCAAATCAGTTTATACTAGATGGCACACCACCAACTGCCGGAACTGTGTATGATGGCTCTAGCGATAGAAACGACCTTGAACTACAAAGCTCTACTAGTGAAATCTCGGCCAACTGGTCGCCATTTACAGACTCCAACGGACGAATTACCCTGTACGAAATGTGCGTAGGAACGGAACAAGAGAAATGTGATGTGAGTGACTTTGTTAGTCTAGGCATCGCTCTGAAGGGTTCCATCCACGGCTTGAGTTTGAATCACACCAGAAGATACTTTGTTACCGTGAGGGCAACAAATGAAGCTGGCTACAGCACCATGGCAACGTCAAATGGTGTTCTAGTGGACAGCACTCCTCCCGTAGGAGGCGAAGTAAGAGATGGCAGAACACTAGCGGACATCGATTTCCAAGCTGGCGACACGTACATATATGCCAACTGGGATGAGTTCCAGGATGTAGAGTCAGATGTCACAAGGTATATATGGTGTGCTGGGACAAGAAAGGGAACCTGCGACATCATCCCAGAAACCAATGTCGGCGACCGCACCAGCGTCGGCCGGCAGATTCGTCCACCATTGACAGCAGGAATGGCCGTATTTGTAACCGTTAGTGCTTACAATGGTGCAAGAGCGATTACTAGAGTGTCTTCCGACGGGTTTAAAGTGGACAGCACTCCTCCAGTCGTCTCCAAGGTAACTAATATTAGATTATCTCCCGCTTCCCAAAGATTGAAGTAAGGATGATCCTGGCAAGATTAGTAATGTGGATTTGTCCTTTAAACAGAAGGATAATGAATACTTCAGAAGTAAGCAGAGTGAAAACCTAGCAAAAATATTCATGAGTGAATTTACAGTGACACAGTTAATTTTTTGCTACATTTCTATGTGTTTTGCATATATAGATTTTTAGCATAATTGACTTCAAGGCCTGATTTCTAACTACTTTCACTACCACTACAGCAACTGTTCTGAGACAATTTAACGCCTAGCTGCTCAAAGTGGATCAGTAAGGCACGGCATTCGTGGAAATCAGCTTTTTATTTAACAATTTTATCATATAGGTATTAGGCATTAGGGATTACATATTAGGTATTTTTAGCTGACGAATTTCTACCTTGGTTAAATAAAGATTATCCATCGAAATAAAGATTATCTATCTTCTCGGACGCCACAAATGCTATAGAAACTAAATACGATTTACGAAAATGAGGAAATCTTTGCAATTTTGTACTGCCCGAACATGTTTTGATCACTACGCATTCTGCCTTTTAAAAGGATTTCAGGGTTGCCACGGTCAGTGAAAAGTCAGGGAAAAGTCGTGTGAGTGGCAAACCTAGATTGACGTTCACTGTTGTAGTTCAAACCACTAATTTTCTCGTGCTTAACGAGCCTAGCAGTATCGGCTTAGGAGGCTAACAGCTTTACACCCTTCTGTCGTCATCTCAACATTTTACTGAACTGACTTTGTTTATTCAAAAGGTCCTTGACTTGCAACTAGGATCACCACTTGTTGATAAAGACTTTCTCACCGCCAAGGACGCTTACTGTGTCAGCTGGGAAACACTGGACCCTGAAAGCGGTATATTAAAAAATGAAGTCTCCATTTGTTCGTCTGTCAACATCAACGACTGCTTGCTGCGTAACATGGATGTAGGGATCCGTACAACAATCTGTATTGCTAACCTGGAGTTCCAAGAGGGAGTGAAGTATGAAACAAGGATTCGATCTACGAACATCATCGGACTCGCTAGCGAGAAATCATCGGACGGCTTCGTGGTTGACTCGACTCCCCCGTTAATGGGTGAGGTCACCCATGTTGAGAATCCGCCTTTAGAGGAATCAACTCATTTTACGAGCTCAGAGATATCTGTGGAATGGAACGGATTCTTGGACAAGGAAAGTGGGGTTCGGACGTACCATCTTTGTATCGGCACGCAACCTGGCGTATGCAATGTCATGAACTTCACGGACGTAGGAAACTCTTCAAGTTACTCTTCCCAGGATCTGCAGCTTGTTCAGGGGGAGACGTATTTTGTTTCTATCAAAGCAGAGAACAGAGCCAGTCTTGTCAGTGATGTGAAGTCCTCTACCGGGGTTGCTGTTGACAAGACAGGTACCTTTGTGAATGATTTGTGAACTCTGACAGTCATAATCTCGAAATATAGATTCTTCTTACAGAGTGCCATACATTTTTTTTAATGTTGCTTGTTAGAATTTCAAGGTGCATCAAAAAAATATTCCTAAGTTAACTGATGACGTTATTTCCTTCACTGGTCTCTTCGCAAGTGACGTGGCATCATGAGGAAAAATTACAACTTCATTAAATATGGTTTCGAGCGAAAGTGTTCCTTTAAACAAACTTTAGTAACTCGCAATAGTTCTTTTATGGCTTTTGCTTCTTGAAAGTTCATTCATGGACTAGTGTTGTAAATACGTCACCTATCCAAAAAATCATTTTGTTTCTATGTCGTTGTCTGTGGTTATAGTTGTTGTTGTTGTTGTTAAAGAGTTTGCCATTTGTTGCTTTGGTAGGACCAGTTAACGGAGGCCAAATCTTAGATGGTACTAAAGAAGGTGAAGACATTGATATTCAGCAGAGCAGAACCCACATAGCAGCTCACTGGAGTGCTTTTGAAGACCTTGAAAGTTACGTTATTGGTGTCACGTGGTGTGCTGGCTCGTCACCAGGCGTCTGCGATCTTGTTGAAGAAACACAGCTGACCTCGACAAGTACATCCGTCCGCAAGGTTCTCATTGAGCCGATAAAGAATGGCCAGCGGTATTACATCACGGTAAACGCTACAAACGGAGCAGGCGTGGTGACGTCACTTACATCAGATGGAGTAACAGTGGATGAAACACCGCCTACTTCCGGGACAGTGATCGATGGGAGTGTCTCGGACATTGATTATCTGAACGGAGAACAAGACGTCAGTGCACGTTGGTTTAATTTTGATGACTTGGAGTCTGGTATCGAGTCTTACGAAGTTGCTTTGTGCGACGCCAGGAACTTGTCGTTCTGCCCGCAACCCCTCACGGGAGTGAGACAGGCTAGAAATGTTACTATGTCAGGTATGATACGATGAAATATCTTTCTCGGTGAAAATAATTAGTGTTTAAGTCATGATCAAATTGTACAGTCAATTTAACTGATAGATTCCAGGTTGCTGTGCGTTTGTTGAGTAATAGATCACAGATGACGTCAAAATTTGGTAAGAAAAAATAGTGGCACACAAGCTTTTAGGCGAGTGTGTCACTGAAAGTAGGTAAGATGGAAAAATGTTAAGAAGTAACAACTTAACATTGACAAGAACTGATTACCTGTAAACGTTAAGAGGAAATTGAAATAGATTCCACTTGTGTAAGAATATTGTTCTTATTACCGGGTAGCAGAAATGAAAGTTGTTATTATTTTTCTTTTATTTCTCTTACAGGATTGGACCTTGAGAGCGGTGTTCAGTACCTTGTCATTGTTAAAGCTATTAACTTTGCCGGTCTTCAGATCGAGGCTGCCTCTGATGGATTCACCGTCGATTTTACTCCCCCTGAGACAAGCGAAGCAATAATAGGGACTGGACCCGAACCTGCTGAATACCAGTCAGATATGACGAAAATGACCATCAGGTACTGAACAGTCTATCTGTAGTCAGAAATCGCTCCATTGTGTTTGTATTCTTCGCTTAAGAAATATAAGTGCACAATGGCCAGTTCTCTTTGTGAGACGCGCCTGCGGGGAATCACGGTAGTTTTAGTCAACAAAACAAATATTCAGTCCAAGAGGAGAATATCTCATGATATCGAACCTGGAGTTTCAGCTTAAAGAGTTAGCTGCCATTTGTTCCCTGCTTCTTACTGACAAATCTGGAGGTAGTGTGCCCCGCGAAATCCGTTTTCATTTTTCCCACTCAGACCACTGGCTGGTGTTATTGGTGGTACCAAGTTCACCGACTCGATCGCGCTTTAAAATATGACCAACTGCTCTGTTTCCTGCTACAGTTAACGTTATGGTCAGTTCTAATATTTGTTATAGTGGTTGTTTACACTGGCCTTGCAAAACCTCCTTGGAGAGTGATCAACTGAGATTTTCATTTTTCATGTTTCAGAATCTTATAACAATGTCAGCTGACAGATAGTTAAGCAGTGTCCTCAAATAACATAATTTTGAATCCAATCACTGTCACAGTTTTAAAGCGTAGCTGAAGTATTAAACTTTTTTTTTTTTCGCAGTTGGCCTCCTTTTATTGACCCTGAAAGTGGCATCTCGTCTTATCAAGTTTGTGTAACCGCTGTTCCTGGAAATTGTACACTCACAAACTTCATTGATGTTGGGGTACTCACTAACGTCACAGTCTATGGTTTAAACCTCGTCCATGGTGAGTCATATTATGCTGTTGTCAAAGGAATAAACGGCATCGGGATGTCATCGGAAACGACAACGAGCCGAGTGTTGGTCGATTTAACTGCTCCTGCCTTGAAAGATGCTGAAACCCTGCCAATCAACACAACACGAGTACCTCCTATGTCACCTACCAGTGGAATAAGTTCAAACAACTCGGTTTCTGGTGGAATCGATCTGCCACCCGACAGCGTGATGCATGGTAGCGATCACATCCGGTTCAGATGCACCGAAGAACTTTTGTCTGCTAACTGGGATGAGTTCGAGGATCTAGAAAGTCAGCTAGAGGGGTATGATTGGTGCGTTGGAACATCCAAAGCCCAGTGTGATGTGTTGTCATTGAGATCGGTTGGAGTTAAACCAAAAGGCGCTGCCATAGTCAAGAGACTCTCATCAGGAACGCTGCTTTTCGCTTCAGTTTACGCTATCAATGGAGTCGGGCTCAAAACCCGTTTGGTATCTGAGCAATGCAAGGTCATCTCCATCGCACCAAAGCTTGTGGAAGTTATCGATATTCCTAATTTGAACGGAAGCAATCTCACGGATATCGACTGGAAAGCCATGGCACAAAGCTTGTCGCTTAGATGGGAAGTCATTGGAAGGTATATACACGATATTTCCCGCTTACGTGTTCAGGTGGCCATCACGAATCCTTCATCAAACTGGTCTCTTCCAGGACTTGATCCAGAGAAGTCGTGGAACAGCGAACCGCTAGTACACGATTTCATGGACGTGCTGTCATGGCAACGAAATGTGACGATCCGAAGCGTGGCGTTGGAACCATGGGAACGTTACCGAGGAGTCGTGAGAGTCTGGAACGAGGGAGGCATTTACACTGATGCTTCCAGCGATGGATTGAGAATCGAACCCGGTGCTCCTCCAAAGCGGGGATTGTCTATTCGCGATAAAGCCGCTGAGCAGGAGCCGTTACGCTGGTTGCCAAACTTGAGATTGCCTGCAGTGAATCTAAGTGCACTAGATGCTGATGTGAGGTACATATCGTCTCCTGGAGAATTGGATCTAATCATAAGAAGCGATTTAAATGACTCCAGCAACAGAACCGACTTCATCCTGAATCACAATCTTTTCAGTCCGATTAAGGAGTTCAAAATTATTGTCCAGCGAGTTACATCTGACGCGAATGAAACGAACACCACTGGGGATTCTAGCATAATGAAAGTAATTCCGGGATTTGCTAATCCCGAGGGACCGTGTTGCGCCAAGAACCCGGTTGATCCGCAGCCTGCCTTCAGCGAAAGTCATTTCAAAGCGACTCTGCCAACCCAACATTTCGGTGCCTCTATCGCCAGGCTACCAAATAACCATTTTGCTGTTGGTTCTGCGGAGAACGCATTTATCCTGCCTCTTCGAAATAGAGCTGCAAACCACATCACATTACCAGATGACATTAGTGGTTCTACAGGGAGACCAATACAAGTGGTGTCACACCAAAACAAAACAGCATTCCTAGTGAATGGTAAAGGGCATCTCTACGAAAGTGATTTGAATGACCTTGGCAACCTCGAGCTAATAAAAACCGCCGTACTTGGAAACTGTAAGACTATATCAAATTCCGTTTGCCCTACGAATAACTTGTGGGCGGACAGTGTTAATCAGGCCATTTCTATCAGCAAGAACATAATCGCATTGACTGGAACCAACTCAACTACAAACGCAAGTGTTGTGGCAATATTTCAGGAGCGTAGTGGGGCGTGGATGTTTGCAAACGTTTTGGGAGAAGAAAACAACGATCCTAACTTTGGACATTCAGTGTCTTTGAATGAGCGCATCTTAGCTGTGGCATATGGGGAAGGTAAGAATTCTTGTGTCTCTGTTTACTCAGTTCAGTCTTTCTACCTAGTTATGACTGTCTGCGCTTCCGAGTTCAAGAACATTACAGGTCCCCTCTCTGTTTGGCTCACGGAGACTGATGCCCTTGTTGTGGTATCGAAAAACTCGAGGTCGTCTAAAGTTCTTCAGTTGAATATCACATCAAAGTCCTACAACGAGGTGTGTCACTTTGACGTTCCGTCGGATGAGTACCTGAGTGGAAACCTTGATGTGAACGCCCGGGAAGGAGGGTTTATTATTGCGCTAGGCATGCAGACATTAGGGGCTCGTGACGGTGTGCAGCTGATTGGTTTTGACGGGATTTATTCAGAGAAGGAAGACGGAAATTGTGTTAACCTTGGGCGGGTAGTTTCACGAGAAAGTGGCTTGAGAATGGATGATGGTATTCCTCGTGCATCCGTGTCCTTCGCGGAAAATACAGTTTTGTTCGGGACCCCCGATGTCGTCACTTGGCCTGCACAAGGCGAAGATTTAGGTACAGGACGGGTCTATATGGCAACTTATTGCCCCACTGATCACGTGCGTGTGAGAGTATCTCAGATTAATGAGATAGGTTCTGTAAGTTGTGTACCGTGTGAGAGCGAGCGGAAGTCATTTGGTGGCTTTGTGGAAATGTGCACCGTGTGTGAAGGGTTGACGTGCTCACCACCTCAAAGCGACGATCCGTATAGTTTTACATCAAGTATCTGTGATTCTCTTACCTGTCCCTCAACATCGATGATTGATAACTCGACCAACGGGTTGAACATCTCCTTCATGAATGGATCGTTTCTTGTCCCTGGTCCTGAGAACCTCTACACTATTGAACTACTTGAAACAACGCGAGCTGATGTATCTACAAGCTCGCTGTCGGAATCGTTCGTCATAGACCCGACAGCTCCCGAGCCTGGAGTGGTTTACGATGGGCTTGGCAGCGATCCGAATACGAACTGTTCCGATAACTCAACATTCGGCGAAGACAGCCAGTGCTCTACCCGCAGTTTTGAAGAAACGGATGTAGACTTTACCAATGACACTCGTGAGATCCACGCAAGATGGATTGACTTCCTGGATAACGAAAGCGATATTGTCGAGTATTTCTGGTGTGTTGGTAGTCAGCCAATGAGAGACGACATACGGGAGTGTGAAAGCACAGGAATGAGGCCGAACGGAAGTCACTTCGAGCTAAACTTGCAACAAGGAGATACTTATTACGTCACAGTTGTTGCCTGCAATGGAGCTCGCAGATGCTCAGCGGCCTACAGTGACGGCGTAACCATAGATACTACACCTCCCGTAATGGAATACGTCAGAGATGGAATTATGGGACCTGATATGGACTTTCAGGTAACATTTACTATAAAAACAGTTACTTTGATTCCTAATAAGCATCTCATGCCATTGCCGTTGTAGTTGTGACAGTTCTTTTGATCAATGGTTTCTAGTTTAGTTAATAGCCCATAAATACTTTTCTTGTTCTTTCCTTTGTTTTAAGTATTTTGATATTCGTGTCGGCAGTTTCGTTAGTTCCTACCAACGAAGAACTGAAAAACGCGCCAGAAGCTAGACATTTAAATTTCTGTAATGCGTCGGAAAGACATTCAAACTTCGCAGTTTACCGAGAAAATTGTTTGTTGGCAAGAAAAAAGCTATAACTACTATTTTTGAAGTCTGCATCGTTGTTAAATTGTTAGATTGTTTATCACGTACTGTTTCCTTACCAGGTGTTTGTTGACATCATCTTCGCCTATTTTTCTGCGAGTGATCCTGAAAGTGCTGTGACGTCATACGAAGTTGCCTGGGGAACCGCGCCTGGTTTGACTGACGTTAAAGAGTTTGAAGAAGTCACCAACACAACAATATGGCTTGCTAAGTTCAAGGACAACGCCCTGGAAGTAGGAAAGAAATATTACGCCACTGTACGCGCTACAAACGGAGCTGGATTACAGTCCGACAGATTGTCCTCCAACGGAATTGTGGTCGGAAAGTCTGAGTACACCTTTGACAACAAGTCAAGTGCCGAGTTCTTCTTCGACACGGTAAATGTGAATGAAAATGGGTCTCGCAAAGATGGAGGAGTGGGGAAGACATACGGGACATTGACTGTACCTGAAGGTGCTGTTGAAGGGGAAGTGAAGCTGAGATCCTACAGCTTGGATGAAAAGACAATGGATCAAAATAAGACTGAGGAGGGTCCTGTTAGTAATCCAAAGTACACTAAATCTAAGGTATGTGTTTCCTTCCGTCCGTTCTTTCATTCGTTCATTTTTTCTTTATTCATTGATGTATTTACTAATAGACATCATGGGCGGTCGTCACATTTTTTATTTATGCAGTCTTCTGTTGACCCCTGCCACGGTAACTGGTCTCCGTCACAGCCTCTGCGTGGTTCGTCACTTAACGCTTGCGCGGAGTTGCGTGACGACTGACGATTGTAACATCCTTAAGCTCACTAACACTTTTTTTCTTTCCATCCCGCAGCAATTCATGCTTGGTAACTACAGTTTTGTCATCAAAGCGTTGGATCCAGTAAACGGCACAGTGCAGGAAGGCTTCAAGTTTGTTAAGCCAATCACAATTGCTATGTTCTATGACGTCGACAACCTTGTCAAGGCAAACAAAAAGCACGTCAATAATGAAGTCACCAAGGAAGACATAGACCCAGTGCTTTACCTGTGGGATCCGGAAAACGAAACCTGGTAGGTTCATTGCTAAACGTTGTTAACACTCTTTATGCCATGTCTAAAAATTTGTATCCAAGTCTTTGCTTTTTTTTCTTTTCTTCTCTGCCTATGGCAAAATTTGGTCCGGTGCCGTATGTGGGTTGAGTTTCTTGTTGGTTTTCTCCTTGCTCCGAGGGTTTTTCTCTGGATTTTCCCGTTTTCCTTTCTCCACAAAAATCCAACATCTCAAAATTCCAGTTCAGTCAGGTTAGGCGACCCTTATGAAAACCAGCTAAGGCTGATGTGTCTTCCTCTTTAAACTATTGTAATATATGACTCCTTTTCTATTTAGCCAGATAATTTGCTACTACAAGTTGCTAACACCTTTCGCCCGGTGTCTAAAAACTCTCCCAGTGTCTTGCTCTTTTCTGCTTACGACCCCATTTGGTTTTACCCTGGTAAATCACTTGTCTAACCTTGATTGTTACTTTTGTTTAGGTTTGACGCCTCTCTCACGTGCCCCGAGCCCTGGAGTCACGTGAACAAGTCAATCAAGTTGTTAACCGTCAAAGTGTGCCACTTGACCCAGTTCTCCTTCTTGTGGTCGTTTTATGCTCAGAATGGTCTGGTTTTGTTTGACAAAAATAACTCACGTAAGTCTGTCACTTTGCTTGTTAGGATGTCTCCTGAGCATAACTTAAGGCACAGATCTCTAAAGCACCATTGATTTCCAGTCCAAAAATTCAAGGACTTTTGTTGACTGGCATTTTCCGGAATGACTGTAGAATATGACAATGTTCTAACCAACAAGAGGGCACGCGCTTTTGCCTCAACGAATCCGGATTTCTTGGTTTACCGGTTATTGTAAAACAAAATTTGAAGAGTAAACGTTAAACCAAACATTGAAGTTTTGAAATTTAGTGCACGTGGGCAAAATGTGAGAACAGCGAGCTACGCCTTTTTTGCAGCGAGATCACGGAGAAGTCCTATTGATTTGATACTTTGTTTGATTTGCCACCAAAACAAAAATGGAATTACAGTACGATGATTAATAAATAACAAAATTGATATACAAGATTACAATGAGGATACAAAACTACAATTTATATATTAAAGGATAGAAAACACAATAGCGAGGGAACCTAATAAAAACAACGGGGCTTGTACTGAAGCTTAGGTTCCCCATAGAATTGCGATCAGACTGAAAAGGATTTGGTTTCCTCCCGTGCCCCAGAAAAAAACTCTTTACTGTAAAACGAGTGAAAAGAACTATCCCAGACAGTAGCCTAGATACTTGCCTTTTCGTAACTACGGTTGTCTTTGATGAGGGTAACATTCGTTGCAGGATTACCCTCGGATTTTACCTCAAGTTGATCTATAAAATTTAGTTGTTATTTCAATCTAGTGTACAACGACGACGGTGTGTTAGAGGTTTCCCGTACAAGACAAGTCACTAAACTAGAAATTCCAGTTCGCCGAGCTAAAGGTGCCCTTGGTGACGTCACAGTGCACTGGTCTCTCTATCAGAACGAGTCATCGCGAGTGGAACTGCTATGGCCGTCATCCGGGAAAGTAACTTTGTCAGATGGACAGTGGAATGATTCTTTTATCGTCAGCGTGGACAACGAGGAAGAAGCGCCAGAGAGCGTGGTCTGGGTCCAACTGGATAAGACAACAGGTGGTGCCGTGCTAGCGTCACGTGATCAAACCACAGCTAAGATTTTGATCGCTGGTAACGAGAGGTCTGGTACGAGCTGGATATGGATTGTGACTGGTGTCTGTTCAGGCTCGCTGTTCATTTTGTTAGTTGTGGTTCTTGTGTGGTGGGTGAGGAGAAAGTGGCAAAAGTCAGAAAGGTAATTTTCAGCGAGTCCTTTCCATTTTTGCACCTTTGAATTGAACTCTTACTGAATTGAATTATACATAAAACCAGTTAAACTAAGTTCACTTTCAAGGTTATCATTTGGACCACGGAAAACTTGATCTTTTCTTAGTTATCTCGTAGCACTAAATTTTTGCGGGAGTTTACTTTTGCGAATCGACGATTTTTTTGTATTTTGCAGGAACTAATTTTTGTGATTGTAATAGACTGTTTTTTTTTTTGTTTTGTTTTTTTTGCTGGGCAGTAATTTTTGCGATTTTCGGGAAGTCGCGTTTAATTGACATTACGACATTTTCGCACTTTTTAAATTAAACTACATGCAATTAACAAGTGAGACAACATGCATAGAGATATAAAACACAGTAATCTAATAATCGGTGTCACTATCAAAATTACATCGTTCTCTTGTGTGGAATTGTAGATGCTCTTCTCAATGGAGTATCTTTAGACGCTCCTTTCCTGTAAACCTGTTTTATTTCTGAACGTTTTGTTTCTCATTTCATCGTTTTGTTTCTGAACGAAAGAGACGTTTCAAATAAACGTCAGCAACAAGATCCTATTTATGATGTTTGTATGCATAGTTTCGCCAGTGGAGTAAATGTTTGCGGGAATTATTTTTTGGCGGGAACCTTTTTTAGCCGGTCATAAAAAAATGGTGCTTTTTTGGTTTCATCGCATTTTAAAAGTTTTTTTTAATTTTGGGCAAGGCTCGAGTTAGATCTTAGACGATGATTTTCCGTATTGTCTCTTAGGCAGGACTATATATATCTTATTAGATGTTTTGGTGTGTAGTATCGCTGTATATTTTTACGAGTTGTGCGGTATTTTGACGAGCCCGTAGGGCGAGTCAAATGCAAACAACGAGTAAAAGTATACAACGATACTGCACACTAAAACATCTAATAAGAGATAAATTATCCAACTGCTGTAGTCAATAAATTTATCAATGAAAGAGGGAGAGTGTGACGGTTTTGCGTGCGCTCGCCGACCTGTACGGTAAACAGGTTTGCTACTATACAAATACGGCAAACAGGTTTTCTACGTACAATATCGCTGTATATTTGTACTGTTATTTGGACGGTATTCGCTGCATTTGGATGATAGATCCGCATACTAACAATTTTTGGGGATTTCTTCTGGGGCGGGTGGGGGAGGGCGGGGGGGGTTGTGGAACTTGCAGAGGAGTAGAATCCCACCCTTAAAATACCCAAGGCGCTACAAAAGTACGCGCGCCAGTAGCTTACTTCATAACCTTTGATTTTCAGGATTGATGATAGAACCGCGGAGATCGAGCTTCCCTACTGCAGCTCTGTCAGTTCAAAAGACGCGGTCCTGGCTCCTCCGGAAATGTATTCTGCTGACGATTTCGGGACACCGCGGCCTGTCCCGAAAAGTACACAAATGTGAGTTTTTGAATACTTTCTATCTGTTATCCTGTTTTGCGTTATGAAATAAGTGAACCACGCATAGACTTTCGGTAGCCTTCAGTATGGCGCATTCAGCTATTTTAGTAAAAGGTAATGTGATCTTGCCTCATGTAATCAGCTTCTTTTTGAACAGAAAATAAATCTTAAAAGTCACTTCAGAACCAGAGGTCCTTTTTCTTACCTTCTGTGCAAGAGACCCAGAAAGCTAAAATCTGAGATTAGAAATTGAAAAAGGGGAGAAAAAAAAAGAAAATAATGAATTTGGCAAAACGTCGGACTTTGTTTCTCTAGGACTATTCTCGTTATTAGGTGTTTAAGTGTATCTATGAATCTAATAAATTAGCGCCTAGCGTGGCGGCCACGTTAGGAACGGCGGTTATTTTTATTGCCTTTCTTGCCGGGGATCTCGAAATAACTCAACTGATGTAATTAGAATCAAAGATAGGCTGCTATGGGATAAGATGATTACTGATAGTACTCATCCCTTCATGAACTGCTTCCACCCCAGAGATCAAGGAGCCTTAGGAAAAGGGAACATCCTTACATCCTGCCACGTGTCAGAACTGAACGTCATAAACGCTGTTTTGTGAACAGATGCCTTTTCAATTTTATTTAATTAATTGTTATTCGTACATTTGTAAATAGTTTGTAATTAGTTTTTTTATAGCAGTTAGTTATATGAAATTGTAAGTCCAGACGTATAACTCTGGGCATGTTTCTTTTGGTATTCACTATTTATTAATAAAGAATTCTTAATGACAAAATTCTCAATGCCGATAAGTTCTTCGCGGGCCTATTTGTAATAGGAATTGGACAGAGTGGAGTACAAATCAGGGAGTGATTAATCGAGCGAGTAGTTTTAAAATCGGACGGGCAAGCAGCGCAAGGCCCATCTTAAATTTTGTCAACGATACGATTACTCCTTGCATTGGTAGCCACTATCAAGTCTTATCACAGAAGTGTTTCGAGCCTTCGCTCCATGCTCTAACTTGTAACTTGTAACTTGCTCTAACTTGTAGGAACAATGGCTTTTTCCGGGGACACGATAGCCACAAAGGACGAAACTTAAAGAATGGTCAACTAGAACTCGATGCTAATAGTCTGTCTTGTTTCCTTTTAGGGCCCTGTCTTCTCAACCTGGCACCCCTGATGTCCACCGCGCGTTGCGCTTGGAGCAAGCAGACGATGAAGTCATGTGCAGCGGGGAGAGTGTGGAATCACTGTTGGATCAGGATAGTGACGCTGAAATACGACGTGTTGCAGGAAGGAAAATAATTAGCAAGCGGAGATTAACAGGTACTGTTACTTAATTCCTCAACCACTATTCACCCGAACATTCGCACCTCTTGTTTAAGTTCATCTCGTTTGCTACGTTCAGCAGAAATTAACCAACATTCCCCTACCCCCTCGGAGGCGCAATGTCCTCATGGTTGGTGCGCTCGACTCAAGATCGAGCGGTCTGGGTTCGAGCCCCGGTCGGGGACATTGTGTTGTGTTTTTGAGGAAAACACAAATTGCCTCTCTCCACTCAAGTGTGTAAATGGGCACTGGCGAATTTAATGCAGGGGGTAACCCTGCGATGGACTAGCATTCAATTCAGGGGGAAGTAGAAATACTCGCAGTCGCTTCAGGCTACAGAACCCGGGATAAGCCCCGGCCTGATGTGCCACTTGGCTCGTACACTTTAACTTTTTTTTAACTCCACACTGATCACGCATATGTAGTTAGTGGTAACTAGCTCTAACCTTCGTGCGGAAATTCAAAATTTAGAATGCACCAGTCATGCAGGCACGGATCAGTTTGGAGTTTCGTCATTGGTTTGGGATTTTTTGGTCCAGTCTAGTTGCTAGCCTGTCTATTAAAGCCAGTGAGAGAAGTTAAAGGGAGAATTTTGATGCGCTGTTCTGCTAAAACACAATGACTTTCACTAGTTTACAGAAAGCGTCCATCTTGCAGTTTAATGCATCATATGATGTCAAATTTCTAGGTCTGCTCAGGATGGCGTCAAAAGAGAAGTATCGCGTTACTCCTCAATCGACACCAATGAGCAGTGATGATGAAATGGAAACGTCTTTCTCATCCTATAAAACCGCAACAGACAAGGGTATGTCTAACCCAGTGTACAACGCAGGTGCAGATAGTTCCGATACTGAATTACCGCGCTCTGAGGACGGATTGAAGTCCAAGGGAAAGGGACAGCGACGGCGTGTTCCTGAGATTCGTTCCGGGTAAGAACCTGAAGTAGGAAATGGCTTCCACTGATTTTTGAGAAAAATGTTAAGCTTGCTGATCGTAACGGCGAACATTTCTCCAAAAACTCGTCCTTAATGTTTAGCCTCATTGAACGAGAAAAAAGAAAGACAGGACATGAGGATGTCGATCAAATATTCCATTCATTGCCAGTTTGAAAATATCAATTCTTCTTAATAGTTGCTACGCATTCCTTTCACTTTTGGTTCTGAGAATTTGTTGGTACATCAAGACGATGCCCCCTGGTTGATGATTTTCTTTATTCTTCACCTCAGAAGTCAAAGGGTCTAGAGGAATAATTGAGATACATTTTTCATATTTGTTTAAGCCAAGATGAAAAAGAATTTATTTCACACAGGATTCAAATACCCAGAAATTGGCGTTGTGTACTAATGATTTTTCCTTTGGTTTATATTAGAGATGACGTTGACAATTCCGATTCGACAAAGTTGGAAGACGAAAAAATATCGTCGTCTTTACATGCACAGACGGCCTTCCCTGTCTCTTCCACAACCATTGCTGAGGATGCCACAGTGGAAGCCACCAAGGAAAGCGAGAATCAAGGGACAGGACAAGCAGAGTAACAAAGTCAAAGACTTTGCTCTAAACTTGACAGCGCTACATCAACAAGCACAGTAAAACTAAGCAGCAGTTATATTAAGGCTGATCATTTAATCCCAAGTGCCCTTATGGTCCACTTTTAAAACGTGATTAAATTTGTTCGGAAGGGAGACCTCTGCCGCTCTAGCATAATGTAGTATTTTGATGCCAAATTGAGATAATTTCTTTTATAGCGTGAAATAAAAATATTTTTTCTTACTGCACGTTTGTCATTTGGAGGAGGCTCTAGTTTAAAGTTAATCTTTGGTTTTTGTTTTACATTATTTGTAGTCAATTACAGAATAATTTTTTAATGACCTTAGTCGTTTGAAAAAAGTTATGGGTGAATTTATCTAGGCATTGTAGGTTAGTTTTTAACAAAGGAGTTCAGCTTAAAACAGGCCGCTGCTGATATAATTCATTTAAATTTTCAAACTATTGTTATTCTGCGTTTGTGATATTTTGTTTTCATGAGTTTTTGAAGCATGATTAATTCTCACAGCAACGTTTGAGTTCCTCGCACTCCTAAATTTGCATTTTCTACCTGAAAGATGTTAATTACCAGAGTTTTTTAGAAATTGTTTGTTTGCTTATTGCAAGTAGTATTTAGTGGGTTTATTTGCGCAAAAGTAGAAGCCATTGGATTACAGTAATAGAAAGATTCGTAAATAAACTTTGAGCGAATTCTTGCTTGAAGCGACGCGTATTAATAGTGCTAAAACGTAGCCTTTTAGTTGTTCCTAGTTGTTTGTCAAATATAGTTCACGACATTGTTTAAATCGATGTTCATTCTCAACATTTGAGTTACGGAATAAAATTGCTTGCACTCTACAGAATAACCTCCGTTTACTCTAATTTACAATCCCTCTCGAGATAGCAATGTTTTCTATCATCTTCATTCGTACACTTTTCAGTTGTAGACTTCACCTTCGCTTCTTTGTTTAATCGGGACCTCATGCGTCGTTCAAAAGAAGCAAACTACCACCCAAACGTGGGCATGTTTTGTCAGATGCGCATGCGTATTGAAAAAGAAGAGCAACAAGGTAAAGAAAGTCATACCACAACGACGTGAAACTATTTAATCATCATTAAGGCAACATTTGTTTTTCTTCAGTAGCCCCAATGCGCATGCGTATCTTTAAAATATGAATCACAAATCTGCACCACAAACACGGGAAACAAGGCAACTATGAGGGCAATTATTTTCTTTCAAGGGGGGCTGGTCGGGGATGGTGGATGGTACCCGTATGGATTTTTCGTTTTTTCTCTTGAGTGAACTTTTGAAGTCTCAAAGGGAAGTCGAAATGCGCATGCGTACCTGTTATCTGTACCACAAGGATGGGAGCGTTAGTCACCATAAAGCCAATTGCTTTACCTGGATGGGGTGGTGGGGGATGTTGCTAACATTGATATTTCCTTTGGTATTTAAAAAGTACACTTTTTGAACACTCACTACATACTACTTTGGCACTTTTAAA